CTTTAAAGCTCCCATCTAATCTAACTAACTTAATCGAACTCGGGAGCAAGAGAGCAATTTTTTCGTATGGCACCGAAATGTAGAAAAACAAAGATGTTTAAAGCGCCTCAAAATGTCCCAGTGAAATATAGGTTATATTACTTTTCTATCAGATCAATCTTGCCGAAGGAGATGAAATATTATTGGTATTTCGGACATTGGTACATGTCTGGTTGAAACTTGAAAGAAAAGGACTCTTATAATTTACATTTCATAAAAACAATTGTCTCCCCTCCAGTGTGACAAATCTGCATCTATCTATCCTGGAGGAGTTAAAGAAAGAGGTCCTTTTGAATGGTCCATTAATTATTGACCAGCTTCACTTATGAGTTATTGTTAACATTATTTGTAGTAAGTGTAGCATTATAAGTTGACCTCAACGAGAAGATCAGTACAGAGTAGGAGGAGCCATCTATGTCATACGCTTGAAAAGCAAAGTTAATTCTTGAATGTTGACTTGAAAAATGAACAATTTTAATTATGAGATGATATTTGTGGAATGAATCCATACGAGTATTCGCTTAATATTATATTAACTCACTTACTGAATAGTGTTTGAATTTAAACCTTGATCATGGTATCAGCCATATACTTTCGCTTTCCATGATAGTTGTTGAGCATCAACGTCAACATTAAGCCAATATTCAAACCTAATTTCAAGTGGACCAATGACTCAATACACAAAAGGGTTCATCCTATAATTAATATATTACTAATAATTAGCCTTGTATCCTTTAGTTTAGAAATTATATATCATTCCAAATTGAAAAAGAAAAAAAAAAAAAACTTGCTTTCATTTCATTTCCCTATCACTTTATTATGGTTGGCAATATAATATCTTCATTATTCTTTCATTGATTTTATACAAAACACTCTGACAAGGCATAAAACAAAATATGTACTGAACCTCTTCCAAAAGTTCACAAAGAAACATTAAAAGCTAAACGTACAATCACGCACGCCCACAAGTTGGGTTTGTTTGCAGCCTTACCTGGTTGACACCAAGGTCTAAAATATCGAGAGTTTCGGAAATATCGATGGTTCAAAAATACGGATATATCGATGGAAATATCGATGGAAATATCGATATCGATAAAAATTGAATACAAATCACGAAAATTGTGAGAAAAACTCAGAAATTTTTATTGTAACTTTAGAAGATGTTTATTTAGTCAATTGTCTATTATTTTATCACAAAAAATTGAAATAAAATGCATGGCATGGTGGGTTTAAGTGATTTAAGTTGATTATGTAGCGACCTGACAAACACTATGTCTTTAGAAAATATGTAGTAATTAGTGAAAAAAAATTAAACACACCATAATTTTTTAGTTATAATAATTTACTACAATATATTACATATGATAATATGTATGAGCTTGGAAAAAAAACAAAAACAAAATATATGAGTAATTTAGTACCTCATAGAAAGAATTCGTTAAAACTTAGTATCACATATAACGAACAATATTAAAACTCAATAGTAAATAATAATACAACTCCATAATATATAACCAAAAAAAAAAAAACAACTCCATAATAAAATAATAAATAACATTAAACATATGCCTAAATTTATCATTAGGGACTTTTTTTTTAATGAAAATTTGTCCTAGATAATATTAGCTTGCAAAAATTTTAAAGACCATATAAATATTACACGTCGTAGCTTTATTAACAAACTCGTCCGCAGCATGATGGATAAGGCTCAGTAGGTGGATTAGAGAAAGAGGGGTTCAGTATGTGAATAAGGCTCAGTAGGTGGATTTAAGACTGTGGTTAAGATAAATTTGTTCCTCACATAACCTCATTTTTTCAGATCCTTATGTGAGCAGGACTCATCTTATTTGTGGCTCATAATTTAGATTAAAAACTAAAAGGGAGAGAGAGAGAAAAATAAAACATCAACAACTCAACGTAAAAGGGCCCAAGAAACTCAATCCACTCCTTGTCACGTGCGAAGGCTGTCTTTTATCAAACACACACTCGAAGACGCTCTCACATCCCAAAGGCCTAATCTCTGTAAACCTAAAATCCCTAATCTCCTCTCTTTCGCTTACGCACATACAGAGACAAAGTCATGGCTCTAATGAGACCTGGATCAGGGTCAGCCCAGCCGGTGAAGCTTCGATGGGGAGAGCTCGAAGAGGATGACGGCGAGGATCTGGACTTCCTCCTGTTGCCGAAGCAGGTGATTGGGCCCGACGAGAACGAGATCAAGAAGGTGATAGAGTACAATTTTCATTTATTTTTCAGTTTCATATCGCGATATTATTGATATTATCAATAATATCGCAATATAATGCCCAAATAAAGCATGAAAAAGTAGGAAATTATCGCCTCCAACATTATCGCAATAATATCGATGAAAATATCGATATATTGACGATATTTAAATGGATATGTGCCATAATATCGTCCATTCAAAAAAATAATATTATCAGCGAAATATCGCCGATAATATCGATATTTAAGATTGTGATTGGCACCATCATGTTTGCATTCTTTGTTAGTTTGGATTTCAAGTCATATATATGTTTTTTTTTTTCAAATTTTCGAACATAAATTATTTAGGGAGTTTCACTAAAACACCCAAAATGGAGGTTGAAATTATAAAAAAACCCAAGCACTATTTAAACATATAAACACACCCAAAACCCATCATTACACACACTCAAAATCCATTTATAAACACACCCAAAAAGTTGACTTTGAGGTTGATTTTGGGTGTGTTTCTATGTTTAAATAGTGCTTGAGTTTTTTTATAAATACATGTCTAGGAGGATTGGGTTTATTTATAAATTTGTAAATTATTTATCATAATTATATTATGTAAGCGGGTTATAACTCAAGTGATTGAGAGCAGCTATATTTACACCATAAATCATATATTCAAATTCTCATATTCTCAATATCGTTCGTATAATATACAAAAAAAATATCATTAATCATAATTATCAAGGCCGAAAAATAAAAAGGATATGTGATACAAAACAAAACCTTGTGTTGGGTGGTATCGAAAAGCCAAAAACTTTGCCATATGTCCTGTAAATTGTTGGGGTTTAAATTGTGAAAGTCCAGGAAAATGGACTCTTTTCTTTCCCATAAACAAAATAAGAACACCAACGACAGCTGGCCCTCATGAGTCATGGGTCATGTGGCATTTTCTAATTCCCACCACATTACACAACACCCGCAGAAACCGTGTGGGCCCTTGGACCACCTCATCTTTTAGCCACATTGCCAAATTGCCCATCGCCTTATGTTTGTATATACCTTTTTTTTGGAAGCATGTTTGTATATACCTACGTAGAGTTAGAGATGATAATTCTACGAATTATATTGGATGAGAAGGAATTCGAACACATATGCCACGGTCATTAACACTTTATTTTCGAAAATTTCTCAACGTTTTTGTGTTGTTTCTGATACTTTTGCTTTTTTGTTTTTTCATGTGGAATTTAGTCCTACTTCTAATTAAAATGGACAACTCACTAAAAAATTCTAAATTATTTAACATTAATTAACATAAACAACAACAATAATATATATGGCTTAAACACATTGTTGGGGAAGAACCACAAACATGTACTAAGGATCATATATCATAATTAATAATATTTCAAATGTAGAAAAAAAAAATAGCAAAAAAGAAGAAGGGCTTATTACATACTTAATATGATATATTAAAATTGAACTAACTCGAGCTCGAGCCATGTGCTAACCTTTCTTGGCCACAGGTTCGAACCCAAATTACCCAAACGACTAACCCTCTCTCATCAGTCAGTAATAGTCCAGGTTATATCATTCTGGAAGATCTAGTGGCACACCTTGATCTGACTAGGGCCCAAATTGAGAACCATAAAAGATCCATGGGTCGGGCTCCAAGCAGACGTGTCCAAGTGATAAATGGCAACACCGTTGTGGTTAGCGGTGAAGCCAGAAATTTATGTCAGATGGTGCATGTTAGACCATATGAAAAAAAAAAAATTCAGTTTCAGAAAAAAAAAAAACACTATATGAAAGAAATAGACTTGGTATACAATCAGAACGCTAAGAGATAAATTATATGTTTCATTGTATTAATTTGCACACAAATGTTCTTTTAAATTTATATTCTAGAAGTGTGAACATATAGAATGACAAATAAGCGAACAAAATATATAGAAAGATCGATGGCATCAATTGGGGCAACAAATTTTAATGGGTTTAGGTCCAAAAGGCAACATATACAAGTAAAAATCTAAATTAATAAAAAAAATATATGAGAGGTATGAGCCCACCATGGTCCTTAGGTGGCTCCGTAACTAACTGTGGTTGATCTTGGCCTTCAAAAGTGGGTCCAAGAGATCCGCTTCGTAAACCCGGACTTTAAGAACATAGTGGCAGTAGTAGAGTAATTAGAGCATCCACAGTGGAGGGTGTCTTTTTGAGGGTGTAAAACCACTTTTACACCTCTAGGGGTGTAACTAAGTTTTTTTGCTCCAATGAAAAACGATGTAAAACCATTTTTATATCCAATTTTCATCATTTTCCCTTTCTTTTCTCCGGTGGGTCCCGCCTGCAAAAGATATAAAAATATATGCAAATTTGTATTTTATTTTACATCTCCATGATGATGATGTATGTTTACAACCTTTTACATCTCCCCATTGGAGATGAATCCGGTGACAATGGGTATATATTTAACATATACCCCCTTATACACCCTCTCATTGTGGATGCTCTTAGGAGAACAAGTCGTATTTCTAATTAAAATAGAAAACTTACCAACAAACCTTAAATTATTTAACATAAACAATAATAATAATAATATATAGCTTAAACACATTGCTCCATTAATTTTGGCTTCTAATTATTGGCGAAGCAACATAAACATTTACTAAGGATCATATATCATAATTAATGATATTCCAAATGTAAAAGCAAAAAAAGCAAAAAGAAAAGAAAAAAAAAAAGACTTATTACATACTTAATATAATTAATTAAAAATGAACTAACTCGAGCTCGAGCCAAAGGCTAACTTTTTTTGGCCTCAGGTTCGAACCCAAATTACCCAAACAACTAACTCTTTCTCATCATCAATCAGCAATTGCCCAAGTCATATCATTCTGGAAGATCCAGTGGCACACCTCGATCCGACCTGGACCCGAACCCAGAGCCATAAAAGATCCATGAGTCGGGCTCCAAGCAGATGTGTCCAGATGACAAATGGCAACACCGTGGTTGATCTTGGCCTTCGAAAGCGGATCCAAGAGATCCGCTTCATAAACCCGGACTTTAGGAACAGAGTGGCAGTAATAGAGTAGGTAGGGGAACAAGCTCTGGTGGCAAGACACAGACTGCGTGACCTTGCCGCCGTTGATTCCTTTGACTGATCCGATCATCACGTTGTGCTTCGCTCCGTTCACGTTCTCGGTGCTGCGAACGACGACGTTCCGGCCGAGGACTGTGGTGGCAAAGTCGATCATGTCCTCGGCGGACCCAACGCATCGTTTTGTCTCGCCGGCGCTGGGAGCTCGTTCGCACTCCTGCAAGGCGTCCAGAATGATCTTCTCCATCGTGGAGTTATCATCCGCGTGGAAGATTTGCTTCAGCTCCGCGATTTTGGAAGTGGCAAATGGTAATTTGGAGGAAATGGCCCGGGGCAAAAACGACCTTTTGGGCATTTTATCTTGAATGTCAGGCATGGGCATCACAACCCCCTTCTTGAGCATAGACTCCCGGAAGAACTTGCCCGGCTCAACCCACCTTTTTACGAGACTACCACTGGCCGCCATTGTTGTACCCTTGCCAGAGCTGGCCTTGGTGTAGCTTTTGAAAGATATGCTCTCCTTCTTTGCATAATCTGAGAAAGAATTGTTCACACCGTAGATCTTGAACCCAATGGACTGTCCCTGGGCTCCCTTACCGTACCCGGTGAACTTATCGAACCCGACATTGAACGACTTGCCGTAATTTGCAAAATTGATCTTCTCACCGTTGGAGTTCTTGGCGTATGACTGAAACGAATCTTCGCCCACATTGGCCTTGTCTCTGTAGCTGGTGAAAGTCTCTACCGCAGCATTGCCGCCATCTCCGTAGCTCTTGAACCTGTTCACTGGATTGTTCATGTCTTTTCCGTAATTGTTGAACTTGTCGTTGGCGCCGTTTCCGGTCTCGCCGTAACCCGTGAACCCGGACCCGACGACATTGGAGCTGGTGCCGTAGCCCGTGAACTCGTTCGGGGCCCCATTGCCATTTTTGGAGTAGCTAGTGAACGATTGGTCGCCAGCGTTGCCGTTCTCAGTGTAGCTCGTGAACGACTGGGCCCGCCCATTGGAATCGTCCGAGTACGAGTTGAATCGGAGGTTGGGAACGTTCACCGAATCGGCGTACTTCTTGAACTCGCCGGTTCCGCTGGTTGCTCCGCCGGCGTAGCTGTTGAAGCTCTGGTCCACGACGTTGCCGCCGGAGGCGTAGTTGGTGAACTGATCCTTGTGGTTGACCGAGTCGCGGCTGTAGCGCCTGAACGAGTCGACTGGGAGATTCTCGTCTATCGAGTAGTTCTTGAACGAGTCGACTCCGGCGAGTCGATCCGTACCATAATTGGTGAAGTTTTTGGCCGCGTAGGTCGTGAAAGTAGAGTCCTTGTCGTGCTTTTCGAGGCTCTGACCCAAATCGGAGAAGCAGAGGAGGTTCGCCGAAGCACAGAACTCCGGTAGCTTGCTTGAGAGACCGTTCTGGGAGGCGAGCTTCGCAAACGCCGCCGAGTCCACCGCGGTCAATGGGGAGGCCTTTGACAGCAAAAACGACGGCTTCTCCGCATCGTTTCGGACCTCTTTGTTCCAGTAACGAGCCAAGTAGGCCTTGGGCGAAAATGGGTTCTCCACTGCGCCGAGGTTTCTACCGGCGGCGGTGAGAGCAACCTGCATTGGGCATAACAATGACAAATGGGTAAAAACAACTGATGGAACCCAGAACCATTGAGTGCGCAGAAATTAAAAATACAAATTATTCAGAGAATGTGTGTGATAAAGAAATGCATTATATTATCTGGGTTGAGAAGTTTAGATGGCTTACATTGAGAGATGAGAACAAGATAAAGAACAGAGAGAGATGAGTCACAAGGCTGAGTTGTGTGTGCTGCTGCATTTTTCTTTTTTTCTTTTTAATTTAATTATTTTGCGGGGAGGGGAGGGGAGGGGAGGGGGGGATCTAAGTGTGTGTGTGTGAGAGAGAGAGAGAGAGAGAGAGAGAGAGAGAGAGGAGGGTTGAGAATGTTGGTGGATTTGTTGGGTTTTAAGCAGTTATTTATATTGGCGTGGAAGAGGGACTGAGTGAGTGAGTGAGTGTGAGGGACTCAATGGGTATGGGCTTTTGATGCCTCTCTCTTGCTTTGTGCTAGAAGTTCGATTACTCGGCCTACCTGCAAATCATACGAATGTGGCTCCTTAAATTTTGCATGATGAATGATTTAGAGAAGAGAACGTATTGTTTACGGGTTTGACAAAACGATATTCTAAAGTATAATGAGGGGGATGAGGGCAAATGGACGGATGCATTACTCTAATGTGTTGTTTACAACTCTCAGATCTTTTTCTAAAACTGACGATAGAAACACTATTAACAAAACACTATAAAAATTGGACTAACTAAATTCTATCAAACTCTCATCCGTGTTCGTTGAACCTCATCTTCGCATATATTTCTCTATATGCTTTATGATTAAAGTTGACCTTATTAGTACCCGAAATCAAATAGTTGGCACCTAATATCATAGCAATTCTAGCATTAATTTAGTTCTTGATTTTATTGGAAGAATTCACGCACACACGCACACACACAAAAAAAGGTTACTGTCCATTTGAGATATACACTGCTAAATCCAGAAATGCAATGCCTGGAAATCTTGCTGTAGTGCAAAGGAAGCATGCAACTTATTTAATGGCAAATCTTACAACATCACTCCAAGTTGAAGTCCTCCATGAAATTTATGGAAGAAAATATCGCAATTCACAAGGACATATTTAATTTAATTTGAAGAGGAAATCTAGGTAGCTGCAATGAATAATATCCAATTTAATCTGATTTAAATCACAGGGGCAGTCAATAAACATTCTAGAATTTTGTCATTGCATAACATGTACAACGCGTCAACAATATTAATATTTATTCAAAAGAATCACGAAAAGTTTTTTTGTCTAAAACTGAAAAATACAAGGCTACGAGGATAGGTGGGTAATAAAACCAAAAAATAAAAATAATCCAAGAAAAAATAATAATTTAATCTGATATTAATCTCAAATAAAAAAACGCCATGTCATCGGTCCATGGAGATGGAGTCCAAGGCAGCAAACTGAGCTCTGACTCTTTAGTAGAAAGAGGGAAGGAAGAGCATAAAGAGTGAGTGCACTGAAAGCAGCGGCAGCCCGTAAAGCCCTGGTCAGCGCACGTGGCTCTCTGGGATTGGTGGGGGGTCGCTGTTAAAATGGATTTTTGACGCGTTTAGCCGCTATTGTTTTTGTTCTCTAATCTGGAATCTTTTCGTGATCCATGCATTATTAGGATGATCTAGCACGAGCTGCATTATATCATGGACAGTGACAAAGCTCGTGAAAATGGCAAATCTTTGTAGTTCCGGCAAGAGTACGAGGGCAGTTTTGGGAACTAAATATATATATACACACACACATTAGAATGAGAGTTAATTATCTAGCTTCTTCGGATCCAAAACCACAGAATATGGGTGGGTCAATTAGTACTTGAAACTTTATATGTTTGGATCAATCAACTTAAATTGGGTGATGATTGGCACTAAGTATGTTTGGCCTCATCTATAACGATGTTTAACCTACCCAGAGTCATATCAAATCTTAATCCCATTAGGTTTTTTGTGATCAGTGATTAATATATTTTATGATCAATTTGTAACCCTGATTTGTTATTAATATATCTTTTCAATAACTAATGTACATGATTATCAAATTATATGAGTGTTCCAACTTGATATATAGTTAATTAGCATGCACCCCAAATTCTATGTTTGAATTCTCACTTTTTCAATCTCGTTTTGTATAAAAAAAAATCATTCAACAGACATACTCTTGGTCAAGTTGGATAGAGTCAATGAGCTCCCCACTCTGCATCCGAGTTCGAATTTTCTTCTGTGTAGTTTAAACTATATTAAAATAAAATATCACTTGTATAAAAAATAATTTCATTTTTAACGTGGTTCTAATTCATATTTATTGAAATGATTAATATTTCATACGACCAACAAACAAAAATGAAGAACTTACAGGATAGGGTTAATGAGATATGTTTGTTGTATGAAATAATGAGGACTTTTCGCTGATCGATCTGGACCTTGCGGACTAGTTTTTTTTTTTGTTTTTTTATTTTTTTTATAGGGGGTAGGAATGGAAGTGGATGAGAAAGCAGGCCATGGCCCCATTTATGTTAATTATTATAGGTCGAATAGGCATGATTGTACTGCTCGGGTAGAATTATATGATTATGTCTTAAATTCTGAATGCAAAATCAGGCATGCGCTTTCCTTTTCACGTATGTCTCAATTTGGTTCATCACTATATTTATAATTACACTTTTAAACTATCACATAATGTTACTAATTCACATATTATATTATAGATAGGCGACAATGTTAATGTGTCATGAGCTTAAAATTTAGTGATAATGAATAAATTCACGTGTTATAACATGAATGAAGCGATAACACCATGTTGACAAAGTGACCGCATGTGCATAGGTATATATCGTTTGCATGATTGACATTTGCAGAACGATTTTCAATGCATGAAGATGATATGTTTGGCTTTTAGGATGGTTAGTCGACATGCAAACTTGAAATTTCACATCTAATTAAGATTGGATAAATCTTTATCAATGTGACCAAAATTAGAACATACTACCAAAATTAGTCGGACACGTCCGCGGCCACCTCATTCTTGATATGAAATTCGTTTATATCCGTATTTTGCGGTTGAATGAAATATGTACAATTCAGATTGGCAGAGAGGAGGGAGATAATAGTACGCGACTGTTACTTTATTAGAAAATTTTACTCTTTTTCTTTTGTTGGTTAAAGAGATTTTTACTTTTTCTTTTTTTTATCTGACTTTAATTTGTCAGCCAGGCTTTAACTCTTTCTTCGGTAAATTTCATCATGACTGCGACCAGCCCGTATAAATAATGCTATTGTCGTTTCGACACCCTTAAATGGCAATTTCAAGTTGGCACCGCTTCCATTACCCATTTTCTACCTAATTTTTTAAATTTTATGACCTACCTTTGTCATACAAGTTTAAAGGAGGGGAGACAAACACTACACTACAACTACTGTTTGTGCAAAATTTTCATCTTAGGACCCGCTTGGGAGTGCTCCTAAAAGGATTCAGAATGCTTTTTGACAACTAAAAACTCTTTTGGCAGCATTTGACAAAAAAGTTTAGAAGCGCTTTGATTTCTTATGAAAATTTCAACGTCTTTATAATAAAAGCGTTTTTGCTATAAGTCCTTATGAATATAAGTGCTTCCTAAAAAAGCAATCCCAAACGAGTTATTTTCCAACGAATCGTAGCCATGCATTAATGAATGATTGATCATAGTCCATATTTAATTTTTCTTTTTTGATGCACCCAAATTTTCAACCTATTTTGGGCATACAAAAACAGAAAACCATTTTAATACTTAATTTTCAGGCCCATCAATGCTTTTTCCTGTTTTGTGTTTTGCAGCATATGGTTTGGCAGTCAATTGTTTGGGAATGCATGGGTTTTGAAATCTGATTTCAGACCCTTTGTTAGAATAGATTAGGACCAATTTTAATCCATTTTACATATTTGGATTTCTGGTGTGACTTGTACTCTCTTTCTTCATATATACATTTCTGCATAATTTAATATGACTTTTGTTTGCATACGTACCAGACGCTACATATATTCCCCATTTCGTTTCCAATTATTTATGGTCCTGTTTTTTGTTGCTTTTCTTAAAGTAGACACCATTTCCTCTGCAGATTAATTACTTCATGATTTTATGTATTATATATAAGTTCAAAGCTTGAAACCAACTAATATGATAAAATATTATTAACAGATAATATATATTATCTGTTAATTAGAGACACACATCCTCCTCTCTCTCTCTCTCTCTCTCTCTCTCTCTCATGCCTGGCTCCCTCTTATCTCGTTATTCTGAATATAGCTAGTTTGAAAGTGAGAGAAAGGAGGAGCCTTTAATATTCTTGCATTCACATTGCCAAATAATAGTCATATTATGAATATGACTTTCTTTTTTTTTCTTTTGGAAAATGCAAGCTGAATGCTTTTGCTTTGAATCACTGCTGGCCGCATTATTTTTCTGTGTCAGTTCTGTAAACCATATGTGGGAAAACAAGAGAAGTACAGTATTTCTGTAGCTGTGTTTTGATAAGTCCAAAGCCAGAGTGGCCGCAGAACCTAGAGGTCAGAAAAATACATAAAAGTCGGAGCAGAAACATGTTCTGCTCAAATCCCAGAGCAGAAAATTTTTATACATTTTTTAAAGCAAAATAATTACTTCTTCTTAATCTCCTACATATATACACAATGTCCTTTTTAAATTGAAGTGGTTGACCTCTGTTTCTGTTCAAGTGATGATAACTAATTATATAAAAATTACCATGCAGGTTTTGGTCTGACCAATCTGCTCAAGTTGCTGTTGCTGCATACTATAAAAACTAAGAAGGAAGAAGATATACATCTCTGTCACTTTAGAAGAAGATGCTTAATGTTTATTTTGCCATGTTTTCTTGTTTTGGATCTCAAATAAATTCAAAGTCTTAAACCTGATGTGATCATCATGTGCTCCCACATGGACAGTCATTTTCAGCAGAGAAAAAAACCAACTCATTGTAATGGGTTTTTTAAGTCAAATTGGTAGTCATTTTTAGTAAGATTGTACCAACTACTTCAATACCTTTTCCCCACATATATAATCATCATATTGTTTTTTTAAGCAGAGTATCTCAGTAAGCAGCTGTTCTGCTTTTCTATTTAAAAAAAAAAACAAAAAACTAAAGCGTACATATTCAAAAAGACAATCACTTTCTTTTTCTTTCGTCTTTTTTTTCTTCTTTGACTGTCAACAAAAAGCATCCTCACAAATGCCAATCTTAAGCAAGGGTTTTGCATCCAATCCACTAACAGACTGAGCATCCAAGCAAAAATGTCAGAAAAGTCCACTCAGAAATATCCTCAAGCAATATATGCATGTGCTCAAATCATGCAAATCTCAGAATTTTATATGTAGGCATGTGGCATGGATCATGAATTTCCATAACTTGCATCAATTTGGAGTGAGCATGAAAAAAACACAAAGGCTTGTTTATGGAGTTTGCATGCATGGAGGATGGACCCTTTATCTCTCTTGTTGATCTGATTCCGCAAATGCAGTGATATCAGAAGCAGAGCCAAATTTTTCTGCTCATAAAGAAAACAAAATTGACAACTCTTTGTATGGAGTGCTTACAAGCATAAGGAGAGAGAGAGGGTAGGCGAAATTTCACATCACAGTGCCCCAAAACTAAATCTGCATCATTAAAATATATATATATATATATTTATATATGATACAATAATGATGCAAAATATAGGCAGATATATAATATAGCTTTTCCTTTGTGCGTGAACAAGCGAGCGTTATGAACCTTGTTTCTAACATGAATATGCAAATGGGGTAAGAAAGAAGTTTTAAACAATTAAAATGAGACTTGTTTTTGCATGAACTTCGGGTTATGCTAAAGACCAGAACAACTTCTTCTGAGAGTGACTTTGTTTCTTTTTCACGTCTTCAACAACAATGATGATTTTAAGAAAGACCCATAAACGACAAAAGAAATCTCTGTGGGCTCAAAATGCCAAGTGGAGTGATCTTGATTTCGTTGAGAAATTGAAAGCCCACTTATATCCATGATTTTGATATGAAGAATTTATATAAACATGGGCGCACTAGCCACCACCACATAACCAGTAGGAAGTGAATTTTATGCGTACTCGATCCAAAAGCACTCACAATGGGAATGCAAAATCCGAAAAAAGAAAAGAAAAGGGATGTTCAAATCATTCTTCCATATTAAACATGCACTAGTTAGCACAACTCAAATTCTCAAGAAATATGGTTTATTATCAGAGAAATAACAATCTTTTCGTATGATATTTAACATGTTATATTGTCAGATTATAAGAAGAAAATGCACTCGTACGCATAACAAGACGATTTAATCAGAATCAATAGTGAGGATAGCGAAAAAATTAGACAACTAATGGACAGATCTTCTACACATCATCAGTATCAAACAGTTCTTGGATTGAAATTCAGTCCCATCTTTAGAACTCAACATATTTGCATGTGACGTCAGTCAATCGTAATGCCATACACTCTCTAATTTATATTTATATTTGTTTTCTTTTTCTGTTTTCCATTTGGTGCTTTTGATTTTCATTTTAAAGGCCATGTGAGTGGTCCTTTCACTAGTTTGAAGGGCACTAGAAAACGAATGGCCTATGGAGCCAAAGTTCCACTGAACCAAAAGACAAAGATGGGTGTAGGTTAACATGTGAGTAGGACATATATCCTCCCAAGTTGGGCAACACATTTCCACTTATTTGTAATCCAAATCCTGTATGTGTATAACTAAACCACTGGCTCTACAGGGGCAGGTAAACCTGCGCAATCAGAATATGGATAAGCTATCTCTGGTTTCTTCCATTTGGAACTATTGCTTCATTTTGTCGTCCAACGGATGCATTAAGAACCTTTAAGCTCTTATTCTGAGAACCTTAAACAAACTTATGTTAATCTAATTACAAGTTTAATGCGTGATCCACCTGCTTCCGATTGCGTAATCTTCAAGATAATATTTGTTTAGCTTAATACTAAACATGTGCTGTTGGCCTCACCTGCCTCCCTCCCCAAACACAGTTCTAAAAGAGCAAGTGATTTTAAGTGCAGTTAATCTTCTGCATGGTTCTTCCTGCAAATAGGTAGGGAAGAATTGTGGTTAGCTACCAGCACTTTTATGGACAAGGAACATGTTTTAAGCTACGTTCTCTCTCATTGTTGCAAGAAATATGAATTTGCTTATCACCACTTCCTTGATCTCTGTTTAACTTGTCCACAAATACTGATGTCTTAAAGAACTTTCTCAAAAATACCAAAGCATTTCCAGATACACATATTTAGACTTATCAGTTGACATCAAAGGAAAATTAAAATGGAAGAAATAACGTAGGAAACTCATACTGAGTTAGAAAAAGTATTAGACATATTTCATAACATAAATCCCATATGTACTTTCCAAAAACAAGTAGATAGTAAACAGAGAAAGCCAGTTCCCTCATCTTCATAAACTTACAGCCATCACCATCTATTTGGCCGTCCAACCAAAGCTCCATCAAGATTGGCTGCAAAGTTAAGAGAAGACTTAGGTAGTACTGGCTTCAAGATTTCTTCTTCCTAAATGTGGAACTTTCAAGAACATTTTGGAGATTAGATGCCCCATATAACAACAGAACTTCTTCGATTTTGTTTTTATTTTTTTGGGTTCAGACAGGTACGCAACTGAACTCTGTCCAGAAAAGTCACTCTTCAACATTGACAAGTTCATATTCAATGAGTGAGAGGTTGTTATCTTCTTTCACTGTAAAACTAGCAGGTTCAGCAACTTCAACACGGCCCCACCTGTCCACAGCAAGTCTCATCGATCCTTTGAACATGTCAATTTTGGCATTACGCAGGGTTAGGGTAGAGCCCTCTTTCACCAAATCCACTACACAACCATCATATCAAAACAATTAGTAAAAGGAAACTTACATAACATACAATGCAGTGGTCTTCCAAACAATGATGCAAACTGGTAAAAATAAAATGAAGTGTCGAAATATACAACCAAAATTAAGATATAGATTTTCGGCCAAAGGCTGAACAAGAATTTTCAAAAAAAGGCCCAAATTGTTGGTGTGGATCCCCCTTTTGCAAAAATACTGGTTAATACGGGTGCTAAAATCTGAAAAACTGAAATTATCAGTTGGTTGGCAGACTGAGAACCTTGAAAAAAAGTGGCACAAACTGATCCAGTCTCATTTAATTAAATGTTATTTATCACCCATGACCACTCATAGAGACTTCACTCCATTAAGCTCACATATCTTTGGCTTATGGCATATCTGCAGTCCTTCCCTCCCTCTTATCTTAAGCATATAACTATCAGATGAGAGTCCATATTCCTGGGCTCTTGTTATGGCATTCAACAAATCTCTGATTTCAGGCTTCAGCTACTGGACATCTAAAGTTTCACTAGATATCATCTTGTTTGACTAATTAATGTACTCTAGCATTGCCTCACCCGTCAATTTCAGCTACTGGACATCTAAAGTTTTTTATGACATCATTAAAACATCTATTGCGAACGGAAATCAGACCCATGTAAGCAGTGGCTGGGAAATCTAAATCTAGGACCCATGCAACCAGGAACCGAGCTGAGACCTTAAAAACTAATGAATATCTAGACCCAAGGTTTAGAATCCCCACAAAAATTAAAATAACAGCATTGACCAGCTCCCACCAAGGCCCTAGCATTATCTAATCAGGAGTAAGTACCAGAAAAGGCTGTAAACCTTCCACATATACCACAAGGGGAAATTTGAGTAATCATGTTTTAGAAATATATCAGGCTCAACAGAACATAAGTAATTATGTTTTACCACAAAAAAGTCAAGGCTAAAACCATTAGATGAAAATCCAACTGTGAAATCATTCAGAAAAGAAGATTAATTTATCGAGATTTGATTATCAGTCACTGGATTTTGATCCAGCAACTGCTAAGCATAGATTGTGTTCACCAGTGAGAGTACGAAGTAAACTTGAAATACACACCTTGATCATTTCTAGCTGTAAAGATAATCAATCCAGTTTCATCGCCAACCAAGCATTCAGCAATTCGCATTTGGCGTACTTGAGGGGCATCAGCACGACCCTTCTGTAATACCATCTTAGTATTAACAACCTTTACCGTGAGAGTGTGCCCTGAGGTGCTTGGGCGGAGCTGGGCAACCTTGGTGAATACAGGTTTCCTCAATCCTGGTTTTGATTCGGCCATTTCAGCTAAACCTTGCGAAATTCACACCCACGAACGGTCAATCATTAAAACTACACATACTGAGTTCAACAAACATTGTTGTGCACATGCAATTATAGTCTTTTCTCAATGTGGTCCATAAGAATTGTAACAGAGAGTCTTAATGCTTTGGTTTTTTCTTCTTCATAATTTCAGAGAACTCAAACATGACATTAACAAAACCTACTTCAATCGATTGGGAATTTCCTTAGCTGGGTTGAGCAGAGCTTTTCCTTTGCCAAAATATTAGAACAAAGATTCCAAATTTATGTTAATTATGGTGATAAAAAGACGAGCTTTTTCACCAAGATGTAACAGAATGTAAGTAACAATTTTACAAATTTATAAATAAACCCAATCCTAGACATGTATTTATAAAAAAACCCAAACACTATTTAAACATAGAAACACACCCAAAATCAACAATTATATATTTTTTGGGTGTGTTTATAAATGGATTTTGAGTGTGTGTAATGATAGTTTTTGGGTGTGTTTATAAAGTGTTTTGGGTGTTGGCTTTTTTTTATAATTTCAGCCCCCATTTTGGGTGTTTTAGTGAAACTCCCTAAAAATTTCAATCGTACATTGTAAACCGCTATATTGATCATAAATTTTCAACGTAACTTTCCGATTTACAAAGCAGATCAGAGAGAAAATCGATGTTAAACAACGGATCGGAACCCTAATTACTCCACAATATATAAAAAGTCGACACTGATAAAATTTATTATAAAAAAGAACAAATTTGCATCCAAATCTATCAAAAGACAAACAAGGATCTTGTAAATTAGAGTGAGAAATCACCTTTGAG